CGTGCCACTGCCCTCCAGCCTGGGTGACAGAGTGAAACTCCGACTCAAAAAAAAAAAAAATCGTTTCCCCATCTATAAAATTAGGAACCTGGAGAGTAATAGCCAGAATACCAGGCATTTCATCCTCTAAAAATTCTCTAGAAGCCCTGTTTACAGCTGAGGCCCCAGGGGATAAGAAAGGTTAGGTAAGTTGCCCAAAGTCACACAGCAAGTGTTAGAGCTGTGATTCCAACTCAGCGAAGTCTGATGACCCCAAGGCAACACTTGGTTTTCTTTGAAGATGGGATTCTCCTTGCCCCTTTCCTGGCTCTGCCCCACCCCCCACGAGGGTGCCAAGGGTGGTGGGAGTGGATGCTTGGATACCTTGACTTCCAGGCAGCCAATGGTTTTCCGGAGTTTGTTCACATAGACAATCTTTTTCCTTTTCACCTGTTCCCTGCAGCATGGACAGGTCTTTTGTCTGGAAGGCACGAGTGAGGGTGAGCATTGGGAATGGGAAGGGACCCCTGGTCAAGCCTTCAATGGGTGACCCAGGTGGTCTCTTCACCAGCTGGAGGAAGCATGAGGATGTATTACAGAGAGCTCTCAGGTCCAAGGTGGGGTCGGGGTCTGCAGGCACCAGGGGGTGAGAGAACCCACACACTTTAGTGTCCTAGATTTGACAGCTGAGTCTTTCGGCCATTGTAGCCAGCACTTGGCAGACTTTCCCCTGTTCTGGGCCCCAGGAATGCCCCCCAGCCTCGCCCCTGCCCTCCCGGCCACTTGGGTACCCAGTGGCACCTGGCCAGCCACCGGAAGATACACTTTTTGCAGAAGATGTGGCTGCACGGCAGCCTCACTGGCTTCTTGAGAACCCCATGGCAGACAGAGCACAGGAAGCTGCAGTTGGGAGGACTGATGAAGAGGTTGAGGTCATACCCGCCACTCTGCAAAGGTCAGGCCAGTGTCAGGGCCCGCCTGGGACCATGAGCTGGCAGCCCCACCCCCAGTGAGACCCCAGCAAGCTTCTGGTGAGGAAGTGGGCCACATGAGAGCCGTAAGTAGAGGACCTGAGTCAGACCCACTTTGAGAGGGCAGCTGTGGGGCTCAAGACGCCCCCCACCCAGGAGTACTAATTCCTGACTGGAGAAGCCAGCTTAGCCTTGTTAGACTTAGCTAGAGCCTCTGGAAGGGTTTCCTTGTGACTTATGGGAGCCTGTAACCTACACCCCCATCCCTGAACCCAAACCTCAGGGTCAGAGGCAAGAGGGTCTCAGGCTTACCATGATCTGTATCTGGAGGGCAGCTCCACTGACCCCTAGGGCTTAGGGGGTCCTTATTTCACTGTGGGTGTGGGCTGACATCATAGGGGCATTGTTGAGCTCAGGCCAATCACAGCCCAGCTCCAGGGCCCATTGGGCCCCTGTGAAGCCTCGCCCTTGCTCCCTTTGCTAAAGGATCACAGGGGAAGGGTAGAGTAGCTGACAGGTGATCCTAGAACCAAGCTTCTGGGAGCTATCCCCAAGGCCAAGGTATCACTAGGATTGCTGCTCTGTTCTCTCCAAGAGTTGCCCAGAGCTCCAAGAGCTTGGGGGCTCTAGACATTGACCCACTGGGTTTCCTCACTTAGGATCCAATATTCAGAGTGGTAGCTCCAGGATACAGAACAGGGCAGTGAAGACTAGATTTTCGTACAAACTGCAGCCCCACAGCAGGGGGCCAGCCTCCCAGGCCGTGTCTGATCACTGGGCAGACCTGTAAGAAATGGCAGAGCGCTCTAGCCTGTGTTCCTACAGGTTCTAAGTCATTGGCTGCTGGCTTCACCTAGGCCTAGTGGGCCAGGAGCCACTGAAAGCCTTCGAGATGTGAACTCGAATCCTATCCTTGCAAGTGGTCTGCTGACCTGGCTCACCCTAGCCCAGGACACCTTGCTTGCTAGCATGGAGGTTACCTCTGGGGCACGGACAGACCTGCATTTCCAACCTTGCTGTGCCACTTAAGGGGTGCGAGACCTTATACACGTCATCTGCCAGCTTCCCAAGTCCCACCCTGTGTGCAAAACAGCTCGGCTGGCCTGGGAAGAGGCATCCCAGTAGGGTTCTCCCGCCACCACATCAGCAGATGCAGCTTCCAGGCAGGCAGGCGGGACGGGGTTGCAAGAACCACCAAACACAGTGAACTAGGGACAGAGTTTTATTTGAAGCACGGGCACAACCGAGTCCCCCTCCCCCAGCGGTCCTGGCGGCGTCGGCCTCAGGCTGGGGCGACCAGCGTCCTGCGGAGAAAAGACAGGCTTGGAGGTCAGGGATCAGAGGCCAGACCCCGCGAGTGGCCGCACGGGGGCTGAAGTGGCGGTGACTGTCGGGGCCTGGGTTTCACCCTCGCACACGAGGCAGTGGGCGGTGAGCTGAGGCCCCGGTGGCTCTGGGCGCCGAATCTCACCCACGACCACGGCCAAAGCCGAGAGTGATTTTCAACCAACGCCGGATTCCCGACCACCACCTCCACCGGGACGCAGCGGGCAGCGGGTGCGGTCAGACATACCTCGGCGATCCCGACAAGCACGAAGGTCCGAAATCTCGAGAGGGACGTGCGGATCTGGGCGTGAGCATTTATAACCAACCGTGCGATCGCGCAGGCGCACGCAGAGCGTGGCGAGGGGTGGGGCACTGCGAGCCAATCCCAGGCGGGGGCGCTCAACTCGCTTGCGCCGGGGGCGGGGAGGAGCCGAGATCTCGCGGCGCTTGGCGAGATATAAAAGCCCTCTCTCGCAACCCCGCTTTCTTTTGCTCCAAAAAGACACGTGAGTGTTGGTGGCCGTCGCAGAGGTCCAGGGCCGGGGCGGGGGGAACCAGCGGACATCGGGCTGGGTCCAGGCTCACGCGGCCGCCTTTCCTGGCGGGAGACCCCGTCCGACTCCTGCGGGAGGCCGCAAAACGTGGGCTTCACTGACCAATCGCTTCTTTTCGCTTTCTTCAGCAAATGGCGGATGACGCCGGTGCAGCGGGAGGGCCCGGAGGCCCCGGGGGCCCCGGAATGGGAAACCGCGGTGGCTTTCGCGGAGGTTTTGGCACCGGCCTCCGAGGCCGGGGTCGCGGCCGGGGTCGGGGTCGGGGGCGAGGCCGCGGAGCTCGCGGAGGCAAGGCCGAGGACAAGGAGGTAGGTCCGAGCGGCGGGCCGGGCTGGACGCGGGGGCGGCGCCGGGGAAGGGCTTTCTTCACCGGCACCTGTTCTCCAGTGGATGCCTGTCACCAAGTTGGGCCGCTTGGTCAAGGACATGAAGATCAAGTCACTGGAGGAGATCTATCTCTTCTCTTTGCCTATCAAGGTATGCGTCGAGCGATGGGGCCTGGGCGGGCGCGAGCCCTTGGGCGTCACTTGGGCTAAGGCCAGAGGGTGGAATGCTGCTCTTGGCTCGCCTCCAGGGGCCGGGGTCTCTAGAGGTTTCGCACCTGACGTTCCCACCACAAACCCTTGGCTTTCGTAGGAGTCTGAGATCATCGACTTTTTCCTTGGCGCCTCTCTGAAGGATGAAGTTCTGAAGATCATGCCTGTGCAAAAGCAGACTCGTGCCGGCCAGCGGACTAGGTTCAAGGTATCGCGGCTGTCTTGTGTGGGACTGGGCTGTTGGTGCCAAGAGGCTGGGTGAGACTCTCTCAGCTCTGCATGGTTACACTTGGCTTCACACGTGTGACTTTCGTAATGGGGAGAGAGAGAAAAGACCACCTCGGGATCTCGGATTGCCTGTACTGTGGTCCTTCTTTCCTTGAGGTGTGCAACAGTTCTTGGCGGGGGGTACTGGTGTCACATAGGACCAGGGGTTGCCTCAACACAGTTTGTTCACAGGCGTTTGTTGCCATCGGGGACTACAATGGCCACGTCGGTCTAGGTGTTAAATGCTCCAAAGAAGTAGCCACCGCCATTCGGGGGGCCATCATCCTGGCCAAGCTGTCCATTGTCCCTGTGCGGAGAGGCTACTGGGGGAACAAGATTGGCAAGCCCCACACTGTCCCTTGCAAGGTAGGCCAGTTGGTGGTGAGTGTCGTTCTGTGATGGAGCAGACTCCCTCTGGTCCTCATCCGATTCCTGTCTTTCCAGGTGACTGGCCGCTGTGGCTCTGTCCTGGTGCGCCTTATCCCTGCCCCCAGAGGCACTGGCATCGTCTCGGCCCCCGTGCCTAAGAAACTGCTCATGATGGCTGGCATTGATGACTGCTACACCTCAGCCAGGGGCTGCACTGCCACCCTGGGTAACTTCGGTAGGTGATCTCTCGCAGGGTTCAGCCACAGTCTCTCAGCTCCGCTTGATCAAACAGCTCAGTGTGTGCCTATGTATTTTCAATGAGAGGTAGGCTCTCCCAATGTGCAGAGCTGCCCAAAAGGGCCTGTCTGTTCCTAGGAGTGCAACTGATGCTGGGGTAGGAGGGTGTGTCTCAAGTCACTACCAACACACTCGTTTACTGTTCTCCAGCCAAGGCCACCTTTGATGCCATCTCTAAGACTTACAGTTACTTGACCCCTGACCTCTGGAAAGAGACAGTGTTCACCAAGTCTCCTTATCAGGTACTGCCTGGCTAATGGGATTGAGCAAGGCAGGGGGTGGGGTGGCAGCGTCTGGCTATAATGTTGTGCCTGTGTCTAGGAATTCACCGACCATCTCGTCAAGACCCATACCAGAGTCTCCATGCAGAGGACCCAGGCTCCAGCAGTGGCAACGACATAGGGTTTTCATACAAAAAAAAATAAAGTGAACCAAGCCCATCTTTGTGTGTCTTGCTTGTGTCCCACAAATGTGGACTGAACCTGCTGAGGCAGGGCCAGGCCAGTAAGATGGGGAATTAGGATAGAACACATCAGAAGCCCAGGCAGGCTGTATCGCTTTATTTCAGAATACACTGAAAGTCACAGGAGGGGACTAGGTGTGTGCGGTTCAGGCAGCAGCAGCCTCTTTCGCAGCTTTTCTCTCTGCCAACATTCTCTGCTTCTGTTTCGCCAGGCACTTCCTGGCAGAATAATGGGCCCCCAGGTCGTGATCTGGGAAAGAGATGGAAGCAAACTGAACCCAGTCCTCACCCCCAGACTGATTAAGGCCTTGGGGATGGATACTTACAGCGGTCCTGGTAGGCCTTGGCCACCTGGGTGAACTGCTCCAGCTCCTTAGCACAGTTCTGCCTGTAGCTCTCACCTTCCCGCTGCTGACAGGCCTTAAGTCTCTCCTGAATAATGTTGACGATTTCCTGGTCAACTTTGCTGGAAAAAAAAAAAAGATGGACTACTTTGTAAGGAATCCTGGAGAGCAGAATGAAGGTGGAACATCTGGACCAACCCCAGAGGCACAGGCTGGCTGGTTGAGGCCAGGCCACAGTAACCCCCCGGGAATGAGGACCCCAGGATACCCCGTGTGGGCCCCACACCACCATGTGGTTCACATACTAGTCCCTTCTCCATTGCATTTCAGCTTCAAATATGCACAGGATGTCCTTCTCCTTGCACTCGGTGATGTCTGGCACGCGGCGGAACTCCCGGTGGTAATAGTAATACTTGTTCTTGGCGTGCTGCTGTTCTATGAACTCTGAAGACAAAACCCCAGACAAGATCCCTATCAATTTGCAGAAGCCACAGTTGGGATGGTTGAGGGTCTGTGGGCTGGCACAGTCTGGTCAAGGCCTAAGATTTGAATGATGATGTCTGTGTAGATGAAGGGTTCCCCTTGCCAGGCATCATTCTCAGTGTTCACGTGCACCTCTGACTTGTCCCCAGTCAACTCTCTGGGGCAGGCCCTTCCATTTACAGATGAGACTCGGGCAGTGCTGCAAATCCAGCGCCCCCAGAGCACAGGGAAAGGCACAGAGGCTCCAACAGGCAGCCACTAGCAGGTAGGACTTGCCTGACCCTTGGGCCTTAGCTTCCCAACGACAAAGACGCACAAAACCCTTTCTAAGACACTGCTGCAAGAAAGAGGTGGGTCCATCGCTGGGGGTTTTATTTGGTAAGTCCCCCCAAAAGACACCAAATGTGCACCCCAAGTGTTCTTAGGTTGCCGAACGAGCTGATTAACTGAATCAAGGCAGAGCCTGAGGGCAGAGCGAGCTCTTGCTACAGTCCAAAGAGCTGCATCGAGCGATCTCTGTTCGAACCAGAGATGGGGAATTCCGGCATCTCGGCCACAACCCCAATACCTTACTACCTGGTCATTTGCACAGACGGGTCTAACAAGCCCCAGGACTCAGATAGTTCCCTCCGCGCTCCCCCCAAATATCTGAGGGAGACAGGGGGCCAGGAGTGTATGCAGGGGTTCCCGGGCGGCGGGGGCCGGAGCGCGGAGAGGGGTCCTGGGGTAGAAGGCGCCGGGTGCAGCCGGGGGGCTGAGCGTCTCAGGTAGGGGGCGGGAGACGGAGGGGGGTCCCGGGAGGTGAGGCCCAGCCGTGGGAGGCCACAGGAGGAGACGAGCTCGGGGATCTCCAGGTAGGGGGGGCCCGGGGTGCGGCGGGGGGGGGGTCCAGAACGAAGGAACCCAGAGAGCGGTGGTCTCCGGGGGACGTCAGGGAGATGTGGGGGAGCAGCGTGGCCCGGGTGCGTTGGCGGGTCCGGGGAGGGTGACGGGGCCCGGGGGTCGTCGGGGGCCGCCGGGCCGGGAGTGGGCGCCCCGTACCTCTCACGAGGGTCACAGGCCGGTCCACGAGGAGGTCGAAGGCCCACGTCAGGTAGGTGATGGGGTTGGGCAGCGAGGTCCGCGGCGAGGGCTCCGGCGTGCGGCGCGGGGGCTCGGGGTACACGTCCTTGTCCCAGCTGTCCGGCATGGCGGCGGGCTGCAGACGCGGCTCCAGGACGCGCCGCCCGGGCCTCCGCCTGCGTCCGGCTGCCGAGGTCTGGTTCGCGAGCAGCAGGGACGCCCAGGGCGGCTGCGCCTGCGCCTGCGCCTGCGCGCCGACGGCCGCGGGGCACGATGGGACTTGTAGTTCGGTGCCCGGTGCGGGCTCCGACGCGCCTCCCCGCGGGGCGGCCTCGCGTGCAGAGTCGACGCCATGGCGCTCGCGGCCTCCCCTGTCGGTTCTTGTGGCAGGTGCCTGCACCGTGCAAGGCGCTGGTCTAGGCGCTTGGGATCCAGCGGTGAACCGAACGGAGGTCCTTGCTGACGTTTAAGAGGACGCAGACAGGCTCACGCCCGTAATCCCAGCACTTTGGGAGGCTGGGGTAGGAGTGCTTGAGACCAGGAGTTTTTTTTTTTAAGTTTTCAAAGTTTATTAGAGAAAGAAGAGAGAAAAGAAAGGGAGACATGCCAGAGTTGGCATGGGCAAAAGAAACTGCCTCATTGTGATAATTGAGAATGCTTATCATGCACCAAACACATAGTAAGTCCCCAATAAATGTTAATTCCTTCCAGTGTAGGACAATGACAAACCCTGACCCTTGGTCTCAATTAAGGGCCACCGAAACTGTGATCTGTGAGCTACAAATTGAGCCCAGGAGTTTGAGACCAGCCTGGCCAGCATAGTAAGACCCTTGTCTCTACAAAACATTTGTAAAAACTTAAAAAAAAGAAAGAATAAGAGGAGACAGGCAATTTGCAACAGACATAAGGAGTAAGTGAACAGTTCATTCAGTTCCTACTGTGTGCCAGGCAGCGTGCTAAGTGCAGCAGGGAATAAAATAAACAGTGATTCTCTTATGGAGAACACGGGCTGGTAGAGCACACACAACAAACAAGTCAACGAATGCCATGAGACACCAAAAGCTCTACTTCTTCAGGAAGACTGCCCGGCCCCTACAGGCTTCTCTGGGCTCCACTTTCTACCAGGTCTCCTAGTGGACGGGCTGATACCAGTGAGCTTGGGGGCTTGCCCCAGGGCCCTGACCCATAGGGTAAAGGAATTCTTACCCTGGGTGAAGTGCACTCTGACTTGGTTTTGATGGTTCCAACTTGGCCCTGAGCACTCTGGTGCCCAAAAGAAGCTCCATTGACCAGGGCCCTGCTGGGTACCGTCTGTAATTTCACAAGTGGCACAGCCCCTGGCTGGTATCCAGGGAGGGGGCTGGTCACTTACTGCCCACAGGTTGGAGCCAGGGACACAAGAACCATTAACTTCAGGGGCCCACAGAATGTAGAATCACAAAAATGTCACCTCTTCAAATTATGAACTCTTAGAAACAGACCATCAGACCCAAGGAATCTTAACATCTTAGCTTCGAATCCTCAATAGTGAAAATTCACAGAACTTAGAGACATTTTAGGCCTGTAAAACTCTAGAATTCTATAGCAACAGAACTTTATAGTCATAGAACCTTTGAATTGAAAAATAAAGGATTTTGACTGGGTGCAGTGGCTTGCACCTTTAATCCCAGCACTTGGGGAGGCCAAGGCAGGAAGATTGCTTGAGCCTGGGAGTTTGAGACCCACATGGCTGGGTGTGGTGGTGCACACCTGTAGTCCCAGCTACTTGGGAGATTGTGGCAGAAGGATCACCTGAGCCAGGAGGTTGAGGCTGTCGTGAGCTGTGATCACACCAGAGCACTCCAGCCTGGGTGACAGAGTGAGACCAGAGAGAGAGAGAGAGATTGAGATTTCAACCCGTTACATTCAAATTTTAAGTTCATAAAAGTAGCTCAATACTCATAGGTCACAGGCTATTAGAATCAGGGAATTTGTAGAGACAAAGTCTCACTCTGCTGCCCAGGCTGGAGTGCTGTGGTGCAATCGTGGCTCACTGCAGCATCAATCTTTTGGGCGCAAGCGATCCTCCTGCTTTGCTGGGTTTACAGGCATGGGCCACTGCGCTCCAAGAGTCAGCAATCTTAATCTTGAAGCTCAGCCCTGGTGATCCTCAGGGCACAGAGTCAGCCCTCCCCTGCCCCTCCCTGTGGCCTGTCCAGCTGTCTCCAACCCTCAGAACAGGGATACCCTCTGCCTTACTATCAGCTGACCAGACTGCTCTCACTTTCCTGTTAGATTGCTGCCTGAGAGAAGTCCCCACGCCTGCCTCTGGGGTAGCTTGGTCCCTACCAGGTTAAGTGGTCCTGTCCTGGAATGGTCCTGGCCCATTCTCAGGCTGTTGAGGAAAGGTGTGCCAGTCTTGGCTCTGAATGTCCCCGAGGCTGCCCATCCGATGCCTCCCTGGACACTGCCCTGCCCCCGCCTGCTTCTGGCACCAGAGACCATGCCAACCACGGAGGATGACCGAGTTCCCCTGCCAGGGGCTAAATCTGGGAGCTGGCTGCTGTGAGTCCTGGCCCTGCCAGTCGACCTCTGGCGCCTCGTGGGGAGGCCCCTTCCTGACCTTCAGGGATCGGCCACCATGGTCAGTGGGGCCAGGGCGGTAGTGGCCGGTGGGCTGGGGCTGGAGCCGGAACACCCCAGCCTTCCTGGGGAGGGGGGCAGCGAGGCTTTCGGACTCCCTCCCAGCAGGGACTGTCCTGGGGCCTGTGAAGGAATGGGAGGCTGGACAGGGCAGCAAGAGGGCAGAGCTGGGCTGCTGGGCCTAGAAGGGTCAAGTGGACAGATGGCAGCGGTCACCTGCCCTGGAGCCCCCTGCTGACTGAGGGCCCTGCCTGGGCCTGCCAGGCTTGGCCCCCTGAGGCAAGAAGCCTTATTCCGAAAAGGCTGCCCCTCAGAGACCCCTCTCCTCCCTTCCTGTAGACAGATGGGGGGCAGTGGGAACCGCCTGGGCCGGTCTGGGTCTCTGGCCTTCTCTTCCAGGTCTGTGACCACCCTGCCACCGCCACCAGGAAGCCCCCAGCTCTGACTTCCCTCCTTCTCGCCCCCCCAGTCCCACCGAAAGTTTTCTGCCCCTCGGCACGGACACCTGGGCTTCCTGCCCCACAAGAGGAGCCGCCGGCACCGTGGCAAGGTGAAGACATGGCCGCGGGACGACCCCAGCCAGCCGGTGCACCTCACAGCCTTCCTGGGCTATAAGGCGGGCATGACCCACACCCTGCGTGAGGTGCACCGGCCGGGGCTCAGTAAGTTGCAGTGCTGGGACACACGGGGAGGGGAGGGTGGAACCTTCCAGACACTAGGAGCCAGAGCTCATTCTTGGGGTCCAGGAGTCCCAGAAAGGACGAGGCCCCGCCCATGGGAGTCACGGACACTGGTAATGCCTCTGCGTGGTTGCTATAGTTAACCTAGTTTACAAATGAAGAAATCAGCTGGGTGCGGTGGCTCACGCCTATAATCCCAGCACTTTGGGAGGTGAGGTGAGAAAATTGCCTGAGCCTATGGGCTTAAGACCAACCTGGGCAACTTGACAAGACCTCATCTCTACAATAAATCAAAAAAATTAGCTGGGCGTGGTGGTGTGTACCTGTAGTTCTAGCTACTTGGAAGACTGAGGCAGAAGGATCACCTGAGCCCAGCAGGTCGAGGCTGCAGTGGCTGTAAGCGTGCCACTGCACTCCAACCTGGATGACAGAGTGAGACTCCAACTTAAAAAAAAAAAAGATGAAATTGAGGCACAGAGCAGTTAAGAAACTGGTCCTCTTACCTACTTAGTCATTGGAGGAGCTTGGGTTCAAAGGTGGGTACCCTAAATTCTTGCTCCAAGCCACCTGCCAGGACATCTGCACTCTCTGGCTATTTCTGGTCTATTTTATACACTGTTATTTCACATATCCATACACATAGGAGGGGGAACCCAAAAAACTCGGAATTTATTCATAAAAAATTGTGTATATTATTCTTACGTGTTTAAGCTTCACTCTGAGAGTACTCTCCATCTGATGCACTATACTTATCTAGATGCTTTTCCCATGGCTCAAAACAGTTTTTGAGCTTGTCCATTTTGATGGCTTCTACCGCTTCTGCTGTTTTTAGTTTCACCTCTTCCACATTGGCAAAACATTTCCCTTTGAGGGCTTTTTTCATCCAGGGAAACAAACAAATTAAAAAAAATTACTCAGGGCGAGATCGGGTGAATAGGAAGGGTGGGGTACGGGGATCAAACATTTTTGGTCAAAAACTGCTGAAAACTCAGTGTGGTATGGGCAGGTTCACCCATCATGAAAGGGGCAAACGTTGAAAGAATCTCAAAAACAAAACAAAACAAAAAAATCGCCGGGCTCGGTGGCTCAGCCTGTAATCCCACGCCTTGGGAGGCTGAGGTGAGTGAAT